AATATCATCCCAAGTCATTACAATCAAATCCCTAACACAAGGAACTAGGGTTCTTCATACCCAAGTGAGAGAAGGGTTCTACTCCATAGAGAGAGAAGAGAAAACAAGAATCGGATTAGTCATACTCATAACGATGAGGATAATCTGCTCCGGGACGATGATGTTCACTCCTATGGCGATCTCCAGGCTCGATTCGATGAAATCCAGCTCCAAGATAGCTTCTAGGATGAGTTCTTCGCACTTTCTCTCTCTAGGGCTCTGTTTTTGCTCTGAAAAAACGATTCCCTCACTTCTGGCTCGGAATAGACATTAAAACCGGTCTCCCCGAGTTGCACGGCCAGGTGCACGGCCGTGCACTACCCCATTCTGGCCGTGCAACATCAAACGCACCGTTTCATTAACATGCTCAGCCTTCTTGCACGGCCAGGCGCACGACCGTGCAAGCCTGGCTTTTGCCCGTGCAAGCTCTCGTCGTGGGGCGCACGGCCAAATGGCACTAGTGCACGGCCGTGCAACCCCCTGGTCTGGCCGTGCACTCCTCCAAAAGCTTGCCCTTCGTCCGTTCTTCATCCAATCGACCCCAGACTCGCTCCTAAGCCTTCATTCACGTACTAGGACCTGAAATAACACAACCAAGCACAACCTAGCGTGAAATCGGCCTAAAACACGAGAATCAACACCTCAAACGGTGTTAGTATGAGGGTAAAAACATGTGTAAATGACGGTCTATCAGCGTCCCAGACAGAGAGAGAGATTATGTTAATCGAAGGAGACTTGTGATGTTTGTTGACATAATTTATAATGTTTGTAAGTCTGGTTTGTAATGTTTGTATCGATTCGGTTTGTATTGTTTATCATTCTTGTTTGTCATTTTTAGTGACATTTTTTACGTTTAGTATGCTTTGTACCATTTGTCGCTTTATTTTGTAATGTTTGTACGCTTTGTTATTTTGTAATGTTTTGTCGGTTTCTTTTGTAATGTTTGTAAGTTTTGTTATTTTTGTGGACCATGTTTGTAATGTTTTTTATGTCTAAAAAACAACCTAGTTGACTTTTAGATGAAACTCTTCTATATAGGGATGGAGCCTCCAAAGTCAACCCGGGTGTTTTTCCAGTTGAATGGTTTGTTGGTCTAGTTTGTCATTTTTGTCCAAACATGTTTGTAATATTTGTTTGTCTAAAAAATAACCACGTTGACTTTGGGACAGAGCCCCTCTATATAGGGATGAAGCATCCAAAGTCAACCTGGTTGTTTTTTCTTTTTGTATAGTTTGTATTGTTTGTCGGTCTAGTTTATATTGTTTGTAGAGTTCATACGTTTGTAAATCTGTTTGTATGTTTTGTAGTTGTAGTTTGTACTATTTATATATTTGTACTGATTGTAAGTCTGGTTTGTATACATCGTAATTTTCTATAATACCCAAACTACCCCTGTCATTAATTAAATAGCTCTTCCCACTTTTTAACCATCAGATTGTTGTGTATGGTGATAAGGTGCCACATGGATGGATTGAATTGGAGGGAGAGTCATATGGACAGGGTTCTAAAGGCTTGAGGGGTGCAAAAATCTGCAGCCTCTCATTCATTCTCCTTCCATCTTATCCTTGCTCTTCTTCTTTCCTTTCCCAAACGTTACCACAATTTTCACCATCACTGCCACCTTCTCATCTACTTTTCTGGAGAATCAAGGTGGCAAAGTCAAGGATTGGAGACTAGGGAATAAGGAAAGAATCATTAAAAAAGGGGAGGGAAGAGAGGTGCAGCAGGGCAACGTGTTTCAGAGACCATTCCGGAAATTCTAGTGGTTGGATCGTCCTGACCGTTAGGCTCAACGTTGTGATGACTGGTTATTAGGAAACGCGGACAGACAAGAAGTGGAAAAACTATTTCTAGGGGTAACAAAGGTAGAGCACTTTCCTTCTTCCCCTTTAACCAGCTGGAAAAGGAGGTTAGCGGAGAGATGAAATTATATGAGTGTATTTTTTCATGTTTAGTCATGTTATTATGATAAATATACATATTTACGAGTTAAGAATGAATTGAATCAAAGGTAGGGTAGTGGTGAAAGAGGAAGTAGAAAACAGTTTTGAACCTTCAACTTAAATTGAGTTCCGAGATAAAACGGGCCTCAAATCTGTATATGATGTAGACCTATGAAACTAGTTTTAGTAGCAACAAGAATCAATCAATTTGATTAAGAATCGAGGGAAATATAGTCAAAATGGTAAACTCGGGTAAGGAAACTCGGCTAGGAAATGTGACCGTGTTGGACCCAGCTGGCCGTGTTTCCACTGCCGAGTGCGGAGGATGAAACTCGGACAAGGACAGAGGGCAACTCAGACAAGGCTAGAGGGCAACTCAGACAAGTTTTGGCAGGGGATCAGGCCGAGTTTATCCAAAATATCGAGGAAAGTGATTTTTAAACCTAATTTCCACTAGTTAACGATTCTATATGGAAGTATATGACTCATATAGTTGATCTAGAAGATTTAATACATGCTTATGATATATTAAAGGTAAGGAGCAAGTCAGAGAGTCATCTAGAGACAAGGAAAGCACAAAATGACTCAAAAAAATGTGTGTAGATTCTAACCCTAAATTTATACAAATGCAAATGAGGAATTTGGGTCATGAAGCGACCCAACTACATATCCTAAATGTTAAGGATTCGGGTCATGAAGCGGCCCAAGTAATAAGCATGAATATCAAATGGATGCGTATTGAATGGTTATGATATGATAACTGTGTTATGAATGTGATGATGATTATGTGATGAACTTGGTGATGATTGTAGGTTGAATGTGAATGATCACGTGTTTACGTTAAAGTGTGATATTGATGTGGTAAAATGGTAAACTTAAGAGCTTAAGGACAATACCTTGATAAAGAAATGACGCCTATGGGCGTAAGGGTATTGATATGCTAAATGATATGTGATGAGTGATGAGTAAATGTGATTTGTGTATTACTAAGTGATAATATGTATGAAATGTGATAAATGATGACTGTGAATGAGAAATATAAAGTGTATGTGATATGAATGTCCTAAAAGCAAGGTTACCGTACTGGAAGCCTATGTGGTAATGAGGGGATGCTGTATAGCCTAAATGGCTATATGATGATACTGGAAGAGCCTAATTGACGATACTGTGATAGTGAAAAGCCTGTAAGGTGAAAATGTTATACTAGGAAGCCTATAAGACGATGATATGTTTATATGAAATGGTGAATGTGATTATGTGAATGTTATGATTATGTGAATATAAGTATTGAATGATTGATGACACTGCTTGATACTTGTGATGTGACTAACTAAAGAATTGTCTGACCAACTAAATTAATTAACTTAAGGACACCCGTTGTGTACTCTATGATATGAGGGTCCGATCGGGCCGACACTTGATACTAAAAGCTGCGAAGTGATATAGGGTTCGACCGGCCCGACACATGGTGCCAAAAGCTGCAAAGTGATATAGGGTTCGACCGGCCCGACACATGGTGCCAAAAGCTGCAAAGTGATATAGGGTTCGATATGGTGCCAAAAGCTTCGAAATGATATAGGGTCTGACCGGCCCGACACTTGATGCCAAAAGCTGCAAAGTGATATAGGGTCCGACCGGCCCAACACTTGACGCCAAAAGCTGCGAGATACATGGGGAAGTACACGACATGACAATGTAATGAAAATGCATATAATGAACTTAACAAACTGTGTGTATGTGTGTGCGTAAGTGTGCATGATTGATCATGGGGATGTGAATGATATGTTGAACTGTTTACTGGCACAACTAAAAATAAGTGAGATGATGATCCTTAGCATCGTGTTATGGTTCATGTGATATAGATTTTGATGAGTATACATTAATGAGTAAATGGTGTCCTAGTACCAGAATGTGATTGCATGTCATTAGAGGTGTGCAAAGTAGTGGTATCCTATGATAGATACTGAATAGTGACATCAGGTGCCTTAGCACATTGATATGTGAATAGTGAAGTGATCGCTACTGAATGCAGAAGAGATAGTTCTTCCATTGATGTCCAAAATTATATGTTGATACTGGATTGTTATAAATGAAATGATAAGCATCAGAAGTGAGCAGTAAATGACGTGTAATTAATGGGTGCCATGCTAAATATCACTTGTGTATATTTGTTCATTTAGGTTTAGAATTTACTCATTGAGTGACGACTCGCCCTTCATCAAATATTTTCCCCCAAATCTAGAGCAGCTGCAGGAAGTGATAGAAGTAGAAGTTGTGGCTTCAAGCTTAAAGTTTTGATTTGTGAGGTGGGCGGAAGACTGGACATGTTTTCACGTGAAATTTAGTGTCAAACTAGTTTCCTGTTTGTACTTCAATGTAAAGTTTTTAATCGGGCCCGATAGTCGATTGATGAGTTTTATGTATTTTATGTAAAATCGAGTGTTCATATAAGGTGTTACAAAGAAAAAGCATCAACATGTTGCAAAGGAAGTAATGTCCAATTGTGGCCTTCAAGGTTTAAGAAAGCACTAGGCGTAATGTGAGCGTTAAGACTTTGCCTTGCGCCTAGCATGCTTAGGCATCTCCAATAGGCATGACTAAACGTTAGATGTAAACGTAGCAAAATATCTCACAATTTCCTAGAATTACAAGTTTTGAACCATTATCATCGTATCTACCTCTTCTTTCTAAACTTTCATCAAAGACACATGGCAAAACATAAAAATATTGTGGAGAAACAAGTAAGGAAGAAGAAGCTTGAAAATAACGAAAGAGACTGAGAGCGAAGAAGCACAAGAAATCAAGACAATCCTCACTAGTAGCATATTAAAATGTGAAAAAGACATCATGACATCATTTTGAGGCACAACTCAATGCTTACACGCTGCCACCAAGGCTAGAACGTGATCATGACACCTTCTCCACTACTTTTCGCCACGACGAGACGTTTTCCTTTTGACTTGTTCCTATACGAGTTTAGACGAGTGTCTAGGCGTGCTTTTTAGAACCATGTTCACCTCACATGACGGTGAAAGCATTGTCAATACAATCTCGAGGTTTGCACAAGGCTTCCAATGGCTCAGCTTTAGGCATAGTTAGCCCTTGCCCTTCTAACATATCCAGTAATGCTTCATTGGTCCTCTTCCAGTCAAAGCATTGAATCAGAGCACCCAAAGTCATTCCCACCACCCGATTTGCAAGTCCGGTGCCAGGGCAAGACCTTCTTCCCATACCAAATGGAATGAATTTATAAGGCTCCACCTCCGCTCCTTCATATCTCTCTGGCCAAAATCTTGTAGGGTCTTCCCATATCGCGGGGTCTCTATGAATAGCCCATGCATTGACAATTAACATCGTCCCTTTCTTGACAGAATAGCCTCCTACCGTGCAATCCTCCGAGGATTGGTGTGGCACTAAAGTTGGTGCTGGTGGATATAGACGAAGCGTCTCATTAATGATGCCTTGGAGGTACGGCAGCTTGACATAGTCAGATTCATCTACAAGTCGATTGTTGCCGACTATATTGTCTATCTCAGCTCTTGCCTTGTTCAGTATTTTTGGGTGGTTTAGTAATAGTGACATCGCCCATTCTATTGTAGCTGCTGAGCTGTCTGTGCCTGTCAGTACCATTGTCTACAAAGACAATGATTGGATTTCTAAATAATTTCTTTTTTCTTAAACTTAAGTGGGGAAAAAAATGTTAATGAAATTTTAAAGTTAAAACTTACCATCACGTGGCCTTTGATGATTTCATCGGAGTACGTTTCAGGCTCAGACTCTTGCAAACTCAAAAGCGTATCGATCATCGTCTTTCTCTCCGTAGCATCCTTCGCTCCATCATCATTCCGACGCTCATCAATGAGACCTTGAAAAAAGCCATCGATCTTCCCCTTAGCTTCCCACATCCTCTTCTCCAGCCCACTGAAATCCACCCACCTCATCGCCGGCAAGAAGTCCACCGGATTCGACGTGGCGCTCAGCTCAAACACTTCCCTTATCAACTCCTTGAACCTCTCACCTTCTCCACAACGTCCTTCTCCCGCTTCCGTCCCAAAATATCTTTTCCCCGCCACCATTCTCATCATAACGTTCATCGACAGATCCACCAGCCTCGACCTCATCGCCACGTGGCCAAAACCCGGCCGGCCAGAAACCTCGCTCACCAGCCCGTTAACCAGGCGCTTGACCTCGTCGCGGCGGACGGGGAGGAAGGAGTTGAGGCGGGCGGCGGAGAGGAGCTCGACGGTGGACAGGCGGCGGAGGTTGCGCCAGTGTGGGCCGTAAGGCGACGCGCCCATGGTCTTGTAGTTGTAGCCGATGATCTTCCAGCCCAAGAAGTTGTTGGGCCGGTTGGCGAAGACGATGTCGTTTCTGTTGAGGCATTCCTCGGCCAAGGATGGAGATGAAACGACGATCGCGTTTCGGACTCCCAACTTGAGGGAGTAAATGGGGCCGTACTTGTTTGAGAGGTTTTGTAAAGCTCGGTGGACGGGTTGTTTGAGGAGAAGGAGGTGGCCGATGAATGGGAGCGCCGGCGGGGATGGTGGGAGGTTTGTGCGACGTCGTTTCGCTTCCGATGATTTCGTTAAGAGGTTGTAGATTACGAGGACTAAGAAGATTGTGGGGAGGAAGTAGAGAGCTTGAGCTATAGTTATCTCCATCTGACTTGTGACTTGTTGAGCTATGAGGAATATGGGGTGTAGCTTCTTTATACTGGATTTGTGCCGTCAATTGATGCCAAACAACGAATAAGGCGACGTAATTGAAGATTGTGTCAAAACTGGGGGACAAAAACTGAAACGACGTCATATGGTTGTCAAATATTGATGGTGCCGTCCTTGAATTCTCACAGAGTCACAGTTAAGTCCAGATAGCATTTCCCTTCGCATCTATCACAATGTATTTATCTTATCCCCTTTACGATATTTCTATGTATTAATTTAATACAAACAAATTTCTCTTGGTTCTATGAAATATGGAAAAGGAAGTGACGGATTTGTTATGAACGATGGTTCCTTTTATTAAAAACTAGTTCGGTGGAGTTAAGTTGAAGTTATGGGGAATATAGTCTCCTCAAGTTAGAAATATAGGTAAAATTATATGTAAATTTTGTATAATTTATTAATTAGAATAAATGATAATATTGTAGTCCCCTCAATCAATTATCAGAATTCAAATCAGTCTCTTCATTCTTCATATTTCTGCTTCCGTCATTGATTTCCATACTCACAATTTGTGAGCAGTATGTAAAATAGCAAGGTATACATAAAGTCATAATTCAGTGAAAATATAATAAACCAACACTTATAGAAGCAGCATAAGAGAGTGATATGCTAAATTATACTTTCATGGCGGATGAAAAGGGGAGTAGATTCGGTGAGTAAACTGTGGTGCTATAAACCCATGCATAACCTAATAAGAAACCGCCATATCAGCAACTCATTCTCTCTTCTCGAAAAACCTTTAATTTTCATTCTCTTAATATTTAACGGACGATTTTTCACTCGTTTAAATTCGGAATTTAATTTTTTTTTGCACAGTTAGATGAGATTAATTGTGCTCTTCAAAATGATATTCACTTTGATATTTTTTGGAACAAAAAAAATTTGCCAGTTATTACCAGTCTATACCATATGGTGGTATTGACTGGTATTAAATAACAGCATACCATATGGTATGAAAAATACCACCCCATACCAGGGTGATATAGTATGGTATGAAGTTGGTGATAAGAGGTATGAAATTTTTTCACCCAGAAAAATTTGAAATCCATTAGATCATGATTAAATCGTTCCTTCTGTGCAAAAATTTTCGAACGAAGGAGATACTATATGATATGGAGTTGGTAACGAGAGGTATGAAAAAAATTCTCAAAAAATATTGAAAATTGATATCATTTTGTAGAGTACAACAAACTCGTTCCATCTGTGCAAAAAAAATTCAAATCCGAGTTAGAATGAAGAAGATATGATCCAATCAAGAATACTATGAAAAATAAATTCATTTAATTCTCCACCCTTATATCTGCAGCCACTTAAAAAAAAGAGTTTAGATTTGATTACTCATAGTTATACACACTAAGATTATGCACCCTATCTTGAGCTAAGCATTGTAGAATATCTAAGTAACAAACAACTTTCAATTGATTTCCAGCAATTAGCATTTGTACAAACGTTCCACATGACAACTTGCTTTTTTTAATGCATTCCTTCCATGACTTTTGGCCTTGCCGTTAGGGATGACAATAAAACTCGAACCATGGGTACACCCGACCCAACCCGGTCAATGCGGGTAAAATCCGTGTTGACGGGCTTTGGGCCGGGTTTGGGTTTAAACTCGTTCACTATTCACCGGGTTGGGTTGAGTTTGGGTTTAGGTAAACCCGCCCCATGGGTACCCGTCGACACCCATACAATTAATTTTTTCGGTATATTTAATATCCTTAACAACTAATCTTATTTATGTTTATGGAGACATGTCTAATTTTTTCTTTCTAATTGTGTAGAATGAAGTTTATTTTATCGAGTGGAGAGTGAAGAAACTTAATTGACAAGGCGAATGAAGCTTTTAATTAATCATGTTATTTATGGATAATTTGTGATTTGCTTCAATTTTCTTGAGTTTTCTAGATTGGTGTTGAACAATTTGTATAGTTAATTTGCAATTTGCTTGAATTTTCCAGAATGATGTTTTATATATGGATAATTTGTATTGAGAGATTGATATTTGACTTTAATTTTGATAGGAACTTGTTATTGTAATTTCTTACGACAAAAACCTGTGGGTACTCATGAACCCGCGGATACCATTCGGGTTGGGTTGGGTTCAAACCCAATGAGTTTTACCCGTATTTTTTTCACGGATAAACCAATGAATTTGGGTTGACCCAACCTGACCCATTGCCATCCCTACTCGCCGTTTTTCGTCCTTACCGATCGATTCGTAAATGAGGATAAGGAGATGATAAACTAATTAGTACTTGTCCCGGTCAGCGGTCACTTCAGGGAGTGTACGTTCTCCCTTTGTCCACGAGAATAGATACAATGTTTTCGACGCTCTAGTACGTGTCGTTATAGGATGGCAAGAATGTGCCGACGGCTTTCTCACTAGACGGGGATGGTTAAACACTTAAACTTCATCTAAAATTATTAATCATGGACAATTTTAATGGTTCATGCAAGCGTATGTTAATTATATAGGTAATGAATTAAACAGAGAATGAAGCATAATACTATACACTAATTTCTAATAAGTGAATTTCAATCTTTAATTTTTTAACTCAAATTATGAGATTCGTTAAATCTTAAAATAATAATAAATTGTTCTGATTGGTCAAAATATATCAAAGTGCAAATAATAGAGATGAAAGCCGGTGTATAGCGTAAGATCGGGCGTACGCTAGCCTTTGTCCGATTTTAATATGTATTTTACCTAGAGCTGGCAATTATGTATCCAATTCATCTACTTAAAATTCACCAAACCCAATCCATTTAATCCAAATCCAATTCAATTGGTAGATTCATAAATTCGAGTAATGGATATTTGATAAATTATAGTAAATAGGTATATTCATTACATTTTACATTTTGATACCTAAATTTTTAATTTTCAACAAAAAAATATCATTTGGAAAATTATGTTTTGACACCTAAAGTTTTTTATTATGACATTTTAATATCTAAAATTTTTAAAATTAACACATTGGTTGAATGTTTGAATCCCACTTAGATGTAAGGAATATAAACTGTGTTTGTATTGATGTATAGAAGGGGTATTTTTTATTATTTATATTGTTTGTCTGAACTAAATATTGCACGGATAAAATATTAAACCTAATACGCCCCCGCAAGATGGAGGCTGTCTAAGCTGACCTAATCTTGAAGCGTAACAAGTCAAACAGAGTAGCTGGTATCAGTTTGGTTAGTGCATCAGCAAGTTGCGAGACTATACGCAAGTGATTGTTGAAAATGAATAGCTTTTGAATCTATAAGTCTCAAAGAGAAAAAAAGAATTAACACATTGTTAGTTTTACACTTGTGAAATGTGTATAAAGATTGTGGACTCTCTCTTAAAGGCATGCCCATTGGGGTGACCAACTTTTGTAGGAGGGGGAGGACCTAACGCACCACCACACACACGCGCGCTCGAGCTAGTGGGTGGGTGGGACTGATTCATACTATAATTTTGTGGAGATATTAAGAAATTATTTATTTATTAATTAATTAATTATTACTTAATTATCATGTATCCTTAACTTATACGAAGATAATTAACTCAATGAAATATTTGAGAGATAATTCCTGGCCAGATTATCTTATCAATACGGTTTAATTAAGGAAGTAATTATCTTCCTAATTAATCTGACTTATTCTCCAAGTAAGAGGGAATATTCTTAGGGGTCTCGGCTCCTATAAATAGCCATCTCCCCAACCCCTCTAAACACAACACAAATGAGCAGAAACACGAGCGAGAGAGTGTTCAAGGAGCTGCGGTTTTTCCACAAAACCGCCGAGCACCCAAGAGGAGCTGTTTTATCCTGGAGACGACCGGTTGATAGTCTGCCATGCCAAATGAATGCAGTGTCGCCAACGTCTTAAAGAAAGCGACCTATTCCGCGACTCAGCTCCTGCAGATTCGGTAACCTTTCTCTTTGTTGTTCTGTTGCTAACAATTTTAAAACATTGTGATGCTGCTATGGCGACTAAACAGAACAACATTGTCGAATCTGGTGTTGTCGATAGCAATCGACCCTTCCGCTTCGTTGGGGTCAACTCTCATCGCTCGAGACAGCAGATGCAGTTCTACCTGATGACCTAGAGGTTGGCATACTGCCTAACCAAGATGCCGATGGAGCTTCCCGAAAAGGCGACTGATGTGGAAAGGGTTCTTTCCACCAAGGCAAGGGAGGATGACTTCCTGTATAAGAACTACATCCTCAACGACCTGGCAGACGATCTCTACGACTACTATGCAGACAAGAGCAAAACTGGAATGATGGTCTAGGATGCACTCCAAAAGAAGTACGACACAAAGGAGGCTCACTACAAGAAAATTTACTTTTAGCGGCTAAACTATGATGGCAAATATTATAAATGCTTTTAAAAGTATCCTCTACCAACAAATATGTAAATTGCTCCTAAAATTATCTAATTCTGCTGTTAATAGTTTAATTTTTTATTTTATTTTAATATCACTGAAAGTAAATTATTGTTTTACCAACAAATTCCTAGTAATGGTCGTCTAAAGCCTTGGCTCATTTCCTTTTAGAGGCAAAAACTATCTATTGGAAAACCCAACTTTTTCGAGACAAATTAAAAGGTTGCTATTGCCTTTTAAATGAAGAATAATTCAGATAAGTAATGTGCCTCTAAACATATCTTTTACCCAACAAACTAATCCACCTCTATTAATCTTTTGTTAAAATAATATGAGAAAAAATATTTTAATTGAAATTAAATATTATTTACATAGCCAAAAAACTCGGAGCTCGGAGCGCAGTAACTGCATTCTTTTGCTGGAGGGGCTCCTATTTTACCCTAGATTGTACATCCCTGATCCCTTTCTGCATATGTTTGTTATTCTTTCTCCATCATTTTGTTGCGGCCATTCCCAATTCCCATTGAGATCAAATCATCAAACTGCCGAATCATCCTATTCCTAG